AGGGTGTGCATGGAGGCCGCCGGGCGGATGGTCGCGGGCCGGGGCCCCGTGGTTCTGCAGAGCGCGGCGGGGCGGGCTGGGCTGCCCGCGGGGATCCGGGCGGTTATACGGGCTTGCATAACTTTCAACTTCTTCGTTTATGTGAAAATCGCTATTTGTACCGCAAGATGTAGCAGCGAGGGGAGGCGTTGGGAGGCACAGGCCCCTCTGAAAGTGCTAAAACTCCTTTGAGGAGCCGGGCAGCCCATGTCCTCCCTCATCCCGTCTTGTCCTACCTGCAAGCGCTACTTTTGCCAGGTGTTTCCTGTAAGATTCCAGTTACCTCAGTCCCTGTGTCGTGGCACGGGAACCTGGCTCCTTTTATACCTTTGTGGGGTTGCAGAATCCGTATGGCACCCCTGGGAAGAGCAGTCACAAACTTGGCTTCATTGGGAGTATGTGGATTTAGATTCAGGAAGGAAGAACCCATAACCAGTCCTGGGTTTGCATGGTATGAAGACATGTTTGGTTAGCTTGTCACAGAAATAAAATGCTCTTGTTGTGCAAAGATAGTTCTTAATCTATAGTGTCTAAACTTACTGTCTTTTAGGATGATCCATCCCTAGAGAGACACTTCAAAGGCCACAGAGATGCTGTCACTAGCGTGGACTTCAGCCTCAATAAGAAACAATTGGGTAAATCCTCTCTGGATTTTGGTGGGCAGGAAATAAGGAAAGAATGTCTCAGTTAACAAAGGTTGCTGTGAAGGTACTGAGTTACAAAGCACAAAAAATAAGCAAGTTCATCTTGTACCACCTGCGATACATGCTGTTGTTTTTATTGTTATCTATTGTCTCTTTTCACTCCCCCGTCTTTATTTGCAGAGCAGTCATTCCTTTTGCATGGGTGACTGTGTCTGTGGATCCCGAAAGGGTTATCCAGAGAGCACAAGGATGCTTTGAATGCAGTTTTGCGCTGCTCTCCATTGGCCTTCCAGAAGTAGCCTGTGGGTCTCTGCTTCCCTTTACTAGACCATGAAAGTGGTGTTCTTGGTATTCAGTATCCATGAGATCCAGTAAGAAAGGAAGCAAATTCTAAGAACTGGTTTTCTGTAGCTGCTATTGGATCAGTCACTTACACTTTTCTTATGAGATTTTACATTCTTTTTTATCTTCCTCTTCTTTCACCCTCTAAAATAAACCAGCCAGACTTAAAAAAAAAAAAAAAAAAAAAAAAAAAAAAAAAGCACTTAAGTAGGATGCTGGTTAGACATGACATATTGACAATAACTATTATAATTACTGGATTGAGCAAATAATCTGACAGAGTAACGAAGACCTAGTCCCTTGAGATGGTGGAGCATTGCTTACCTTAAATTATGTAACATTGGAACCAGGACAGCTATCATGCTGTAATTTAGTATCTTCACTAGTGTATAGTTGTAACTAAAGTTTAAAAGTCTTGATATTGTCTGCACTTAAATCTTACTATCCTTAAGAAAAGAGATTGCCTCTGTGACAGGGGAGGAAAAAAATAAAACTCAAGTGACAAATAGGTAAGATTTCTCTTTTCCCCCTCCTCAGGGAACATGCATTATGACATGCCCCTGTTTGACACGGGTATATATTAATCCTGCCTTGATAGCAGGAAAAGAGATAACTATTATTTTTGTCTTGAAATGCCTGTGAAATAAAGGGACATTTCCAGCAAAAGCTATTTGGTATTTTGCCATAATGTTAATGAACTGAAATCTCATAATTATCATACTGCAGCATCAGAACCTGCCATCAAACCGATCCTTTCTTTCCTAGAAGCATTTTAAGCTCTCCCTGGAGATGTGCCCTGCTAGGTACTTGGGCAGAGAGATACAGATATACAGGCTTGGTTTGTTGGCAGGCTGAGTATAACCTGTACTTGTCTGTAAAAAAAATCTGCAAAGTTTTCTGTTATTTGGGCAAAAAAAATGATTCAAAGTGGTATTTTTTCTATCCATGTTTCTGGGACTTGCCATATAGCATTTTTTCTCTTTAAGTTGTCCCTGGTCTGTACTTGTTCTGCAAATCACCGGGACGCCCATGTCGCCCATTTGCACAGTGTGGCAGGCTCAGGGAAGAGCAGCTCCTCAGTTTCCTCTGTCCTGAGTTGGTTCTGGAACCCGATCGGGGAATTTTATACTTAAATGGAGTTACGGTTAGCCTTTGTTGAACGATTTGGGGTAAGTTATGCTTGCAGTGAGTGTAGCATGTGCACTGGCTTCTGCCTCCTGCCTGCATGACCCTGCTGCCAAGGGAGAACTTGGAGCAGCCCCATCTGTCCTGGGGGCAGTGTTATTCCCATAAGTTGAGCCTCTGCTCTCTGGGATCTCCCTCCAGCCCCTTCTCTCCTGCCTTTGGTCCTTTCCTTTCTGGCCTTTACATTAGGAGCAGGTCCCTGTTCTGGGCCAGCCTTTCCTCAGGAGCATAGGAGTAAAGGCAGGGTGCAGGTGGAGGGCTGTTCTTCCAGGTGAAGATAGAAGTAGCCATGAGAATGAAAGACTAGGTGTGAATTGATGGGCTGCTTCCCAATCACAGAGAACAACTATGAGATAACAATCCTGCTTGTGTGGTTCCTCAGCCTGTTTTTATTTAGAAGTTGTGCAATTTTTGTGTGACTTCTGCTTCTGTGACTGTTGCATGAACTGAACTGCAGTGTCAGTGCAGTCCAGTATATGACTCTGTTCAAATACTGAGAGCTGCAATACGCAATGTGTTGATGAGGTTTAGTGCTTGAAAGACAAAGTGCTTGAGATTGCTGGAAGCTGTGATACTGAGTTGAGTGTGAAAAATAGCTAAAGAGTAATTGGAGAAGAACAAATGCAAGCTTGCTTTTCTGTAATTTTTTTTTTTCCATTTTCAATTCAGCAAGTGGCTCAATGGATTCGTGCTTGATGATCTGGAGCATGAGACCTCAGATGAGAGCCTATCGCTTCGTGGGCCACAAAGATGCAGTGTTGTGTGTTCAGTTTTCACCCTCTGGTCACCTCGTGGCTTCAGGCTCTAGAGATAAAACAGTTCGTTTATGGGTTCCCAGTGTGTAAGTATGCATTAACTATGGCGTGGGATTTCTCCCTGTTTCTTGGTAGCAGTTCTCCATGTCTGGAATTGGGAGTTGTTTAAAGGAACAGACAACCATTTTATATGGCACTTTTGACAGAGGGAGAGGTAACTTGGTCTTGAAAAACAGTTGAAAAAGAAACTAAAATCCTTTGCAGTATTAACTTCCACTAATATAAGAAGTAATTTAATCTAACCCGGCAACAGCTGTTTGATGCTTCTTCCTGTCCCATCCTTGTCTGTTGTCTTAGCAAATTGCAAGAGTTTGGTTAGCTTAATGAATTAATGCTTAATTCCTTGATAATTGTTAGCTGAAGGGTCTTATAAATGATCTTGTTCCAGTCCATGTTGTTGTTTTGCACGATATGTCTTCAGTGAGGAACATTGAAATACAAAGCAGTCAGGAGACAACTGCAAAATTCTAGCTGGAAAACATGATTTTGCTCTAAATAATGAGAAGCTTTTTGTAGCTGAGTTGCAGAAAAGCAGCTGCCAGTGTTTATTCTGGTCTCTTAATTCCTACACTGAGCAGTGGGATCCTCTCTGAACAGGCTGCCCCGTAAGGATGTTTCTTGGGGATGTTTCTTGGCTTCCGAGCTTGTAATTGCTGCTCTTGAGGGTGGAAGCAGCAGTGACTCTGGACCCCAGGAGAGAGGCAGCCCTGAAGTGTGTGTGTGTGTGTGTGGGGTGGTAAAGAGGTTTAACACCCCCTTCATGGTTATAATCATGTCTCTTCAGGAACTTGGGAAAATATTTGTAGCTGTTTGGTTTTAAGTTCTTCTGGTTATGATCAACCACTGGAAGCTTTTTTTTTTTTTTGCTGATTTTTATGAATTTGGCCTATTAAACCTAAAATAGCCTGCGCTATAGAACAAAGGCATTTCGAAAGTGGCTTTTTAACTCTGTGCTAATGCTTGCTGGAGCAGTGCTCTTTCTCTGCCTAAGCCAGCCTAGGTTCATCTCCCTGCTTCTCCCCTTGCCCGACCATCAAGGTGCTCATCTGAAACATCAGGATGCTGAGCTCCTGCAGACACCTCACACTCGTTTCATATGTTGAGAGTTGTACAGTTGGGCACATGTGCCGTTATTCACCTGTGACAAAAGTTTATTCCCTGCTTTCGTTGCAAATTCCAATATATTTAACTGCAGAGCTGTCATGGTACTTTCATAATGATGGGTGACTATACTATAAATATGGTAGAAACTGGGTAAAGTTAAGCTTAATTTATAGTGAAGTAGAACTAAAATGTACAGCTTATAATTTCAGTTATAATTCACCTTAGCTAAACTTTCCTGGAAGAACTGATTAGAATGACACGCTAGCATATACATTATTGAAGGACACAAGGTAAATTACACTCAGTTAAAATTTAACTTGCTGCTCATCCATCCAGAATAGAGAAGCATTGACAGCATCTTTCTGCTCTTTTCAGTGCTGTGCCACTAATATATATAATGCTGAAAATAATTTATCAAGTGAACTACTTGGGGTTCTTGGATGCTAATATGTAGGTTTTAAGAAAGGCCTGGGATGTAATGAGAATTTCAATGATTTGTGCTGGGTGGTGCTGTTGTCTCTGTCTCTTAGTTGTCTCTGTGGTCAAAGCTGTACCCATAGGTGTCACATCAGGAAATGGCCAGTGTGGGAAGGGAGTTGTTGTTGTCAGGCCAGTCACGTTGCCATGCACCAAGGTATTCTCTAATCTGTGCTTATTTAGTGTTCTCTGTCAATTTACCTTCCCTACGGGTAGCGAATAAAGAAAAAAAAGGCAGAGATTGAATCAGATTTACAGCCTTTGAATTGCACCTTTTGCAGGCTGATTAAAGGGAGCAAATTCTGTGTATTGACAGGGCAAGATGCAGGGGGTGGATGTTGCTTTGCTGAAGTAATTAAAAGTGAAAGCTAGCAAGGCACTAAAGTCAGTAGCCTGGCTCTTGAGAGGATTCTGCTTGAGAAAGTTGTGTCTTTGTTAGGAAATCACATTTTCAAGCAATGTCCCTATCAGTCTATAAAAAGAAGCATTTGGAGGAAAGATTGCAAAGCTGCTTAAATGGCCTCTGTCACATGTTCCTGGAATTACTGTGACTTGAAAGGCAGCAGAGTGAAGGAACTGAAAGCCTGTGGTGCATCACGTTAGTTCCTGCTACAACAAGTGCATGCACAAATTGCCAAGGGGCAGGAAGGCTCTCCCTGTGTTTGCAGAAGAGCAGGCTCCGGGTTTCGGGGGTGACGTGCATAGCCTGCCTGGGGGGCAGGACTTGGCTTCTGAAGGACCTGAGCCCTTGCAGTCCCTTTCAAGGGCAGCATGTTACGGACAGAGTTAATGCCAGCCTCGTGTGGGGAATTCTCTTTGGGAGTTTTGTATTTTTGCAAGCCACGTTGACACATTTTTGTCACTTTCTGTTTTTGCTGCAAGTGTTTAGCAGATTCGGGAAGTTCTGTGTTTCTGACAAAAAGAAAACTTTCCATAGGAGCAGCTTTTCATGCTCTTTGCCTTCTGGCAAATAATTAAATTAAATGAAACTGGGCAACTCTGACCTTCCATTTGAAGAAGGAGGGAATGTTGTTGGGAGGTACAGAGTGCTTTGATTTTCTGCTTTTAGAGCTTCTGTAGTCCTGTAGAATTTGATATATAGTAAGAGATTCTGTTTTTTCCAGCAACCTCACTGTAAACCTTGACTGGTAATCCCTAATGAGACAGGGACCAAACCACCATGTCTTCTCCTTGGTCTCTTCTGTATGGATCTTGCATTTGTGGTAGAATACTGTAGAGATGTTCATTGATTCTTGGTCCCAAATACATCTACTGCATATTGAAATGCATTGCATCCTGTGGTGCATCTGTTTTCAAGAAAAGTAATCTCCAGTGTTTGTTTGGAAAAGTTGAATAAAGAATTAGGAATACTTTTCCAGGTAGTATTTTTTTTGTTGCACAAATTTAGCGTTTTTGCCTCTTTATAGGTCATGTAGATTGCTGCTGGAGCCCAATACGACTTGAAATAAAGTAGAGCAACATTTCAGCTGTTTGTTCTGAACAAACTCATGGAACTATGCAGACTTGATGAATCGTATGTCCTCATGTAAACACAGAGATTTCCCATAGAAATAGTTGTTAATAGTACCGGTCAGCATACAGAAACGTAATGTTTTCATATACAAAGTGTCTTTGCTGTCTTGTTCTGCAGTTTCAACATATTTTTTTCATTCTTAATAGCAAAGGAGAATCCACAGTGTTCAAGGCTCATACGGGAACTGTCAGGAGTGTTCATTTCTCCAGCGATGGCCAGTCCTTGGTCACAGCTTCTGATGATAAAACCATCAAAGTGTGGACAGTTCACAGACAGAAGTTCCTATTCTCACTTAGTCAACACATAAACTGGGTTCGCTGTGCCAAGTAAGTACAGATTTCTGACAAGTAGTAGTGATTTGTTGTTTGAAGTCAAACATCATGGTGCCTTTGTGTAACATGCTTCTATTTATGCTGCTTTTTAATTCACATGTCCTTGTTGACTGAAATGCATTGCAAACTGCAGAGATTCCTCAGTTAATAGCTGTGTAGCCATTCTGTATTTCTTTAATGATCTTTTTAAAGCACACTTCCTGCTTAGATATTTGATCCTTTTTTAGTTAATTGAGAATTTAATACATCAAAGTTGCTGCAGAAGCCAGAGAGAGATCCTATATGATCTCAGTTTGGTTACTGCTAGGCTTGTGCCCCTATTTAAAAATGATTATACGTGCTTATTGCTTGCCTTTATATTGAGGAGGAGGACACTTACAAGAACATAATCATCCACAAGCATTTGTGTAGTTATTCCTTGTAGACATTCACAAGGACTGCCTAGTGATAGTCTTTGATGGTTATTCTAGCAATTAACAAAGTGCATAAAATACTGGAAGTGCTGCCAAGTTGAAACATTTTATTCCTGTCATCTCTGTCCTAAAAACTTGGTTTTTCAGGTATCCACCTCAGATTTCTGAGGAACTTTTATGTATATGTGTATTTAGAGTAAAGACATAGTTTTTCTTAGCTGATCAGAATTTGTCTCCTGAGAGTTGCACTGGTCTCTGCTGTCCTCTTGTGTACGAAGGTTTAAGATGGGAGCTTAATGCATTCTGGATGTAACTTATCCTGCTTTTGCTACCTTGGGAGTAATTATTGTTCTGAATACTTTTGGCAAACACAGAAATTGTTTTGAATCAGAGTATTGAAACAACCTGAGAGGCACTAAAATTAATAGTAGCAGGTTAGGAGATCTTAGGTCAGACTGGAGACTTTTGTGAGGGCCATTTAATACACTTGCGGACTTCTGGGTGGTTGTTTCTTTTCCTCAACTATACAATTGCACTTGTAATCCCCCTGAAAAGCAGTGTGGTTGTTGGAAGAGTGACGTTTGTTTCCTGGCATGACTTGACGGCTTTTCCAAATGCAGTTGCCCCTCTGCACTTTTTGTTGGGCAGTTCTTGAGTGCTGTAATTTTCATCCTAGATTCTCTCCTGACGGGCGATTAATAGTGTCAGCCAGCGATGACAAAACTGTGAAGCTGTGGGATAAAACGAGCAGAGAGTGTATCCATTCCTTCTGCGAGCACGGCGGGTGAGTGCCCGGCTCCGCACGAGGACCAGCCTTGCTGTGACTGCGGGTGCAGGGATGCCTGCTTAATGTGCACCTGCAGTGACTGATACTTGTCCTGGCAGTCATTTTCCCAGTTTCTTGCCATTTGGCTTGAAAATAAAATGCATGTACATTAGATTGATTCAAAGTAGCTTTTAGCAGCTATTACAGAAGCAGTCAGCAGGAAACTCGATGCAAAAAGCTTCCAGAATTGCTTTGATCTTGTTAGACTTGTCCAGATTGGGATCCCAAGAATTCTGTTTCAATAACTGTTCAATACGGCAAGCCTTGTTTTATTTACCTTTTTTTTGTTCTTATTATCAATTTTTGGAGATAGTTAAGTTCTCAGTTCCTTCTTCTAGCTTGATCAAACTCTTATTGTGTTCTCCTTTGGTGAAACAAAATCAAACAAAATCAAAGAGCAGAAGTGTGCTGGCAGATTGGTCCCTGGCATTTTTTTTGTTTCATCCTCAAACTCAGCTGTGTTCTACTCAGCTGTTGAATGCAGGAATATTTTTGATGGGGAGTACTGAGCTGCAGCATAAGTTTCAATGTCCACAAGTCATCAGTGAACTGAGACTAGAAACTTTCTGGTGTCTTGCTTCATTGATTATTTTTATTTTTTTTAAGCACACAATTCTGTTACTTTGAGATAATCTAACATGATATTAAAGACATTTTCAGGCAACATTATTTTTTCCAATGTGCTTCAGAATATGGATTCTCCAAACAACCAAATGAAATTTCTCAAATTCCTTAACATTTGATACAAGAACTCAGTGTTATTAATCTTACCTAATATCTTGCATGGATTGGATGAGGTGTTCAAGATGCCTTTCACTGAAGTTTTGATAGGTTCTATATCAGTTATGTGTCCAAATTAAGAGGATGGCATATAAATCCAGAAGGAAATCCGGTCACAGCCCTGCTGTCTTTTAAGTGACAACATATGATTACAGGCCTAAGTTCATAAAGTTTTCTCTTAGAATTAGTTAAAGGTAATAACAGAACAATCTGAGTTTTGTACATGTCAGTCTAGAAATACTGTTAATTAAGTAAAAATTATGTATTATGTAGATTTTAACACTTGAAAATGTTGTAACAGTGGGACCCATCAAACTTCAGGGGTTTTTTAATCTACAACTCCTACAATTGTAATGTAAAACATTCAAGATAGGTATGTTTAGATATAATCTTATGTTCTGCTTAATGCTATAAGTAAGATCTTGAAAATGCTTCATACTGCCAAATCTCTCATAAGAAATTTCCTCCGTTCCCCAATGTTCAATGTATTAAGATATCCCTTCACTCCTTGAAAAGACCTTTTCCAATCTTAAGCAAGAATTGACTGTAAATCATTGGATTTAACTGCAATTTACAGGTTTGTGAATCATGTGGATTTTCATCCCAGTGGTACCTGCATTGCTGCAGCTGGCACAGATAACACAGTGAAGGTGTGGGACGTTAGGATGAATAGACTTCTCCAACATTATCAAGGCAAGTTAAGATCTTGGAAAAAAAAAATCTTATCTTTCTATATTTTAGTATGGAGTTATCTGAAGTCCAAGGGCTCTTTATTGCCTGCTGGCCTTCCAGAAGGGCCCTCACATAGGTCTACCAGGAATGCTTTTTTTTATTTTTTTTTTTTTTTTTGCCAGACCTCATGTTTTGCTTTATATTGGCCCCAAGATTAAATATTAAATACTGGTTAGAAACTGTCAGTTCTTTTTCCATCCTATTCCCTATTCCAGTCAAATGGATTAATGGATTAGTGCTGCCATTCGGTAGAACTGTGTAGTAAACAAAGGACCTTTTCTATCCCTATAAGCTTTTTGGAGTTTTGTTTTGTGTGTATTAGTAACTCCGATGTACTACTTTCTTTGCTGCAAAGACTTTTAAGGATGGCACAGTATTTTATAAATCCATGCATTCTCAGGCACCGTTTTTGGTATGGATGGCATCTTAATCTTAATTTTCTGCTTTTCATGTAGACTGCTTCTAGCATATTAGTAAATCATCCCAGAGGTAAGGGTTGGAGCTTGGCATCTTGTTCTTTGTCATCTCCACATCAGATAATGTCAGGTTGGGAGCTCCTGCTGCTCCAGTCTTCCACTGGATGCCGAGCAGACAAAGCAGAGGAGTAGCTTAGGTGGCAGTTGATTCTTTCTAACTTTGTAAGTTCAGAGGCAAAAATTGAGTTCTAATTTAAAGCTATTGGTCCTGGCTTTATATAATTCTTTTTGAAGTGCTTTAGATTATATATATCTCTACTCATTTAGGCAGTGAAGGAATTTGCATTTTCTTTCAATATAAATTCTTTGGTTTCTCTCTACCTTGACACAGAAGGGCAGAGTAAGACTCAGCTATGTCCGAAAAGTAGAATTTGGTTTGTTCCCTTTTAGCCACCTGTGAAAAACTAGACCTCTTGGTGCAGATGAGAGCAGTGGGAGTTATTCCTCTCAAGGTGAATGCAGATTATCTGCAGAGAAGCTATTACGATTAGGGAAGTCCTTTGGGTTCCATAGAAACTTAAAACAAGATCTGCAAAAAAGGCTGCAAAATTGGGAATTCTTTAATACTTCTGCTGTGTACAGAGGGCTGTTCTTTCACTCTTTGCATATGGTAAAGACATGACCATCACTGGAGCAGTTTTCTTCTTGCTTAAAAATCATGTCCTATTCCTAGCATCAGCTTCTTGCAGCTTGATTTTGTAATTCTTGGCTTCCAAATTTAAGGTCTTTTTACGATATTATTTCTCCCTGTGTAGTCAAGCCAAGGACTCCTTAAGCTCTTTTTCAATTTTAAACTAGACTGAGACCTCCCATGTAACGTAACTTTTTAAAATTTCTTCAGTTATTCTTTCCAACTTGCAATCACTTCTAATTGTCTAGTAGTTTAAAATCTAGTGGAATTAAAGCCTTTTAATAGTGACCGCTGAAAAATATTCAGCGCAACCCCAAATCTGCTGAAGTGTCATTATTGGTGTAATAAACATTGGTGTAATAAACATGGTGTAATAAACTTGTGACCCTTGTTAAAACTTGGAAACACATTTTGAAAGTCTTATTGATAAAATAGGCAGCACAATTAAATATTTGAGCAGGATCGGCAATGCCTGTTTCCAGGCAGTGTTACTTGGCTCAGAAATGAGCTCTTCGTGACTTCCATTTACTGCTATTAAATCGTCCGAGTCTAACGTGGCTTAGATTTGGCTGCCAGGTTTATTTTTGTGTCTTGGAATTATTCATCCCTTGCGTTGCAGCCTTGCTGAAGAGCATTTTAATCGGTCACTCTTGCTCTTGAAGTGTTTTTTTAAGTGTCACTTTTAACAGCTCCTACTGTATGAATCCTAATTATGCATGAATTATTGAATTTGAAATAGTCATAAAAGCCAAAGGAATCTAATACATTTCAAAGGCAGTTATATGCACACATTTTATGCACCTGTGGCTGCAAAGTTTGTTGCTTTGAATATGTTAGTCTTGTTCTTCTAAGGATTTACACCCAGGCATTTCAGCCAAAGCTTTTAGTCTCATGTCTCCTACGTGAAGAATTTTATCCCAGTTCCACTAGAGGGCACCTCTTCCTTCAGGATAACATTACATTGAGACACCCATGCATGGGCTTTACTAGTTCCAAGGGAATCCATTTTAAAGGTGATATTGGATTGAGAAGTTAACAGATAAGTAGTCCCTCCTGTTTGCACTGCCACACACTCTTGCATGTTGAAATTTGGCCGTTCTCCACAACTGCTAAGTCTTTTAGCCGCGTTGCTCATGTTGCCAGTGCTTTTTTCCAAATCCTGTGTTTGCAAATGCAAGCTGGAAGTGGAAAGGCAATTGCAGCACCTTTCGTATAGTGTGTTTCAGCAGGGGAAGTGTGTTGTGGTCGTGCTTCCTGAACAGGAGACCAGACCAATGCTTTATGGGCACCTCTAGCTGCTGCTTGTTCCTTTGGTCCAGCAAGTTAAACCTCTGCAGAAAATGGCCAGTGCTTCTTGCCCACAGTTGTTCTCCCTGTGCATAAATGTGTGCAGGCCACATATGTTGCAGGTCCGTGGAAACAGCCCTAACCTGATCCTTGCTGCTGTTTTAAAAGAGCAATCAGTCCAGCTTTGTTTTTATTCAGAATAAAATATCACAGGAGAAATATGTGTTTAGCTGTCTTTTTCAGGAGACTCCACAAACTCCCCATGTACTTTATCTTCTGAAGTATAATATAAGGAGAGAAGAGCTAGCTTTGATAGAGGCAGTATTCACCTACAGGAATAACCGTTTAGAAGTCACCTATGTTGACTTAAGACTTTTTTTTCCTGTGTTATTTTTAGTAGTTCAGGTGAAGAGGAATTATCTTTAAGAACTTAAGCTGATATATCTAGTATTTCTGAGGGTTTTAAAAGCAAATGCATTCTGCTTTACAACTGAACAGGATGATTTTAGATTTCTAATTCAAATCCATATCTAAAGTGTTATGTCCTCAAAGTTATATTTTGGAGGAGTATTTTTAACATGCAGTTTGAACTTAGACCAGTAAGTATACTGATATACTAAAGTATATCAGTAAATTCAACTCCTGAGAAAGTTGAGATTTTATTTTGAGGGGAGTCTTAATAGTAGTAGATTCAAGATACCAGAACATTTGCAGGACAAGTAGTATAATTAAGAATAATTAGATATTTAAGCAAACCAAAACTTTTCAAGCATAGTTTTACTGTTTTATAATGTCACATACGCTCAGAAAGCTGGGCATATGTGAAGTACTGCATGTTCCCATAAATAAATATGCTCTGCAGCTTCTCAAAAGTTCAAGAAGGAAAAATTCTACATTAGGTAAATGTTTAATGTTACAGTGAATATAAAAAGTGAATTTGACTTTTTCTTAGAGTGTTTTCTTTAGCTCTCTTCAGAATAACTCTTTGGCTTCATCTTCATGCAGGAACACTTGTTTTATGAATAGTTAGTCTACTCATACTTGTTATTTTAAAATTTTTGGTGAGGTGAACAGAGTCTGTGAAAATAATATTTATACTGCCCAATTACATGGGAGCATTTTCAAGTCGTGGGTACTTCTTTCCTAGATTCTCTTAAATGCAGGCCTGGTGAGTCAAGTAGCAGATGAAAAGAACCTTCACAAAGCCAATTTTGAGCCTTTCATGGTAATTTTAATGTTCTCCTTAATGTACTAATCTGTAGTTTTTATTTTAAAATGGCCTGGGAGTGAGAATAGCAGCTCCGCAGTGGTAAAATACGCTATTCATAATCATGTAACTCACTTGTGCACACAGATGTGTTTTGGGCTACACAAGAAGCTTTTTTGGACTAAATCTCACAAGATTAACTGGCAAAATTTCCTTTTTCCTTTCAGTAGAGTAGTGCCCGTTTTCACAAGAATTGAATACTGCCCTTCTGCAGTGCTGTGAAGAGTCCTGAGGAATGTCTCCACAGTGATAATTTTACTGTTAAACTTCATAACAGAATATTGCAATATGCTCGGTACCTTATTGTATTATTTTGCCTTGGGCTTACTATGTACACAATTGTCATCGAGACCAGCTTACATTTTTTCCGTTCTTAGTTCACAGTGCTGTGGTAAACAGTCTTTCCTTTCACCCCTCTGGAAATTATCTGGTTACTGCTTCCAATGATTCAACTCTTAAAATTCTGGATTTGCTCGAGGGACGACTTCTGTACACGCTTCATGGTCACCAGGTGAGGAAAAACCTTTTATTCAGCAATGGACCAACCCATAACATACCAAACCAATTTGTGACCCGTTCTTAGAGTTCTTCATGAGTCTCTTGAAAGTTTGTTTAAAATAATGGAAACTTGTGAAATCATCATCGTTTTGGAGGGCGGAAATATGGGGATGGAAGGAGATAAGGCAGGAATGGAGAAGATGATGGCAAGACAAAGTGCCTGTGTTTGAGGATGCAAGCCTAAGACTTAAGACAAGTTGTTAGTGCTGGTCCTGTGTCCCTGTGCCAGTCCTGCAGTCTCTGTTCCTCAGGTCTGACTCTCTCCCTTTCTCTAGAGCACCACAAATAGCACTTGGCTTCCTGACCAGGATGCTGTAAAAGTTCAATGCAATTCAGCTGGCAGACAGCTAAGATGGTGGTAGTAAAATGGAGAAAATATATTTTGGGTTGTGCTTTGGGAACATGTTCCCATTTTTGTTTACTGCCTGATTTAATTGAAAGTTATAAGTACTGCTGTTTGGTTATGTTCAACTGATGGACCTATTAGTACTGTGCTGCTGGGTGTGTTGCCTGTAAGGCTGATTATTGTATGAATGCTTGGAGCTGCTCTTTTCAATGGTAAATGTAAACAAATACCTCATTTTGTTGAGTATGCTGAGTGGGTCTCAAAGGCATGGAAAAGCAGACGTATTTTAAAGGCTTTCCTTTTTTGTAAGCGACAAAACAAATTCTTAACCCACTTGTGTCTGTTGTGGCTGAGCCTTAAAATGCCAAAAGCTGGGCAAAATCACAGCCTGGAGCTGCTTGGGGCTGGGGAGCGCAGGCAAATTTTAGACAATAACAGCAGCTCCGTGAGCTGCAAAACTGATCATTTTGGCTTCTTGTGGCTTCATGTTTAGTGGTTGCCTTGTCTGATGTCTGAAAAGGGTTGAATTCCTTCTGTAAATTCTCTTAGTGCATTTCTCTAATTCCTCATAATTTCAGTGGAAAAATGATAATCTCATTCTTAAAGCTTCACCTTGGGAAGACCTGGTTAACCTACACCTCACCTGCATAACACTTTTGAGAACTGAAGCAAGTGAGTACTGCATCAGGCTGCTGCTGTTGTTTTAGCTCTTGTCCTAACCTCATTTTCATGTTTATCTTTTGTGCTAACTGGCCAACAAGTGCTTAGGAAGTGGCTATCTGGAAAGGACAAGTGCAGTGAGCTAGTGGGTCACTGGACCCTTCATCCATGCCTCAGGAAGGAGTGTGCTCGCTTAGCTAGGGTTGTAAGCTTGAATCTGCTTCCAATTCTTTCTTTTAAATTGTGTAGGCTGTTTCTGGCCAAACGCAGAGGGAGTAATTCTGAATGAGCATCACAGCTATTCCAAAGTTGGTTGTGGTAATGGAAGCCTTCAGAATAAGGCAACCAAGTCCTCTTTAGGTGGCTGCTGTATTAAGGCTGATGTAGTAGGATTTTATATTTTTAATGCCTCATTTAACAGGTCCTGCTCCCGCGGCGCTGCCTTCCCTGGGGATACAAACATGCAGTGACACTGGGCACCACTTCCATGAGAAGCTGCTGGGGTAGCTGCTCTTGGAGGCTGCTCTTCTATCCAGCCTGCTCTGCCAGTGGATAAACCGAGTCTGATACTGAGGGCTTTTTTTGCCCATCTCACTGTGATTTCTGCCAGTAACCGCAGTGGCTAGAAGTGAGGTGGGAGTGGTTTTGCTGGCCCCTAAGGACATGTTGCCTCTTTCAGTGGGCCCGTAGGAACGTCAGTCTCCTGCCGAACAGCCTGTTCTGAAGACGTTCTTGAGCGGGGAGTCTGTGTGGGTGAGCGCTGCTCCGGCCTTGCTCTGCCAGCTGAGCACCCTGCCCTTCTGGGAGCGCTGCACGAAAGGGGACACTTGAAGGAAAAAAGCCTTGAGCTCCCTTAGACATGTGACGCAACTGCCGGAGTGCCAGGAATTTGTCACCAGCTGATGAGGGGTAGTTTACGTAGGGCAGGGCGCCAGGTTTACATTGCTGTCCTGAGCCGTAACGGAGCCGGCGGTTTGCAGCGCGGAGCTGACGTCTCGCAGCTGCGACGCATCACGCTGTGCAGAGCTGCATAGTTTCATTCAAGTGCCTCGAGCTGTGGAGTGCTTCTGGCTAATTCCCCGCAGATGAGACACGGCGCCGGAATGAGGGGCCACCTTGGGGCTGAGGCATCATCCTGGAATGGGATGTTTTGGGACCCGTAAGTCGCCTCCGGAGAGCTGTTAGTGCAGAGCAGGGATCCTGTGTCCCTCTGCCCTTGGGAGTGCTCTGGGGAGAGCGTTTCCAGGCAGCTTCCTTAGGGGCATGGAAGCTCTCAGTAAATGTTTGGAAAATATCCACATGGTTGTGTGTATAAATAGGAAGTCAGAAGATGCCAAGTTAGGGATCTCTGAGCAACCTTAGGCTGTACCATGAAGAGCTTCATTCCTCTCACCTGCAGGGTGGAAGTGCTCTCTGCTGGACTGGTCATACAGAGTAACAAACATCCCTGACTGTGTTATTCCTTTCCCCCTCTCTGCTTTCCCTCACCTCTTTTTATAATTTGGCTTTTCCTGTTTGGTGCTGCTTCTACAGGATTCATGCTGTATCTTGTATGACATTGTCAAACAAGTTGTGTTGGCCTTGTCACCTTTCCTCTCCCTTATTCTTCCTGACTCTGTCCTCATACCAAAAGTTATCTTAATTTCCATTAGTCTTCACTGAGCTGGTCTCTCTGCTGCTAAAACCAGGCAATAGGGGAAAGATGCAGGTCATGCAGCATCCTGGCTCAGGCCCTCTCTAGGCCCCTGGAGCATTTATCAGGTTGCTCACTTGCTCTTGTAACTGTCCCCATCACTTATTATCTCCCTCCCTTGCTGCACTCTCACTTCAAGGTTTGCCTGCTGACCTCGTCTCCTGTGCCACAGAGCAGTTGAAAGAAGCTTGAACAGTGACAGTGACTGCTTGTTTTTTTTATGTCTTAAACTGATGATCCCATTCCTGTGTTGCCACTTCTGACTTTCTTCTCGGGCATTTGTTGCTACTTGTATCTCCTTTTCACTTGGAGCTAGCTCTCTGCTCTGGGAGGATCTGGCTGAACAGACTGCCTGTTTGCTTCTCCCTTGCATCCCTCCTATGGGCCGCAGGAGCAGCTCTATTTCCAGTCTTCACATTCTGTAGCTATCCCTTGTACCAGTTCCTGGTACCTCTCTACTAAGCAAATACTTGCCTGTTTCTCCGAGAACTTAAGTCTGCCAGCATCCTTGACCCCACTTGTCTCCAGCTACCTGCAGTCTGCTGTTCCTTTCATCGTGCTGAACGTGCATCGTTAAACCTACGGTTTATTTTCGGACCCTGTGCAGTCTGGCGCTCGTTCGTTCTGTTACGCCAAAGGCCAGGCCCAGCTCTCCCCCCCGCTGCAGCTCGGACGTTGGTCTGCCCTGGCTTGCCGTGGCTGCTGAAGGTGCTGGCCCTGCTGCCCTTCACCGTGCCCCCTGCCTCCCTGCTCCCAGCCCCTGCAGGGAGGAGGCCTGAGCTTCAGGAGGGCTTTCTGGCCGATCTGGCTGCGCTCCGGGTGCAGGTACGGTGCTGGGCTCCAGACGTATTCCCATTTCCCCATCTCCAGGGCTCCTGATCTGTCTCTTCAGAGAGCTGTTTTTTCTCTCTGCCATTGAAAGCTTTGTTTTTGGGAATGCTATTCTTGCCATTTCTTGTCATCCCTTTCCCAGTTGTTATAGATGCTGCCAATGTCCTGCCAGTCACTCTGTGCTGAAATCCGGGTGCTGCCCTCGGAGCTGCTCCCCCAGCTGGTGGGTGCAGCCTGCACTGAAGTCGCTCATAATCTTCCTGTGCGTCGTTTCTTAAGGCCACATTGTATTTGATGTGAACTGATCAAGCTGCAGATTCCCGGAGCACTGGAGGCCTTGGTGGACACCAGTTTTAATCAGCAGGAGGTGGAAGAACAGAGGTGGGCAAGGAGCAGGAAATCTGGCTGGTGGCCAGCACTTGCATTAGGTTGTGCAGGTGACGCTGTGCCTCTCTTTCCTTACCTGTGTGTGCAGCAGGCACTGGCGTGTGGCGTCCCAAGATCCAGCTGTGGCTGTGTAATCTCATCCAGTTCCTCTCCAGTGGGAACTCGGCTGCAGAGAACTAGGCTCGACCATGGTAAAATTCCTTTTCTAACTCTTCTCCCCCAGTTTCTTTGTGTTCAATATTATTTGTCCTTTTCAAGGCACCTTGGGCTTGTCTCCACCCGACCTGTTGTTCTTTCCCTGGGGGAGATGAGTTGCCTCCCGATTAGTCAGGATGTTCTTTCCACCCAGTTTCTCCAAGGCATGACTTGCTCTTTACTTTCCCTCTGACTTGCCAGAGTTGTCTCCTAGTATCACCGAAACTCTCGTTGTTCTTCCAACCTGAGGTGCACAGAAGCTCAGCAGCCTTCATGCTGCCCTGGTATCTCACTGTCAGACCTCTTCTCTCTTGCCTAAGCTGAGCAGGCCAGAAGCCACAGGAATCTGGGGGTTGGTGTTACCAGCTTCTAGTTGGTGCAGCACCAAGAACAAGGAGGAGGCACAACTAGAACCCCAGATCCCTCTGGGGATACCAGCAAAGGGGCGTTTCTGCCCTGCTACAGGAGAAAGAGTACGAGGGATCCTTTAGAGGCTGCTGCAGCCCTGCTTGTTCTGGCCACACTGGAGATGATAAAGCATAGAATTCTCCCTACAGCTTTGAGATAAGAATGTGCAACCACCTCTTTGACAATATTTTAAAGTAGTAACCTTAAAGAAAAAAAAAATACCCAAAGAAGGATTTGAATTCTTCAGGCTCCAACCATCTATCTGTTGCCCAAGACTTTGTCACAAATGTGTCAGGTCTCTGCCATGCTTACCTAGAAGGAATGCAAGTTGGGCTGTGTTTAATCACTGGGGTGTGTGGCTGCTTCCCTTTTTGCTTTGTGTGTTTATACTAAAATCTAAGAGCATTTGGCAAACAGTTATTTGTATGTTGCCATAGCAAACCTGTTATACCTGGGAGGGGTGCTGTGTGTGTATGTAACAAAAAGTCTTCACCTAATTTATGTCAACAAATCTGTAGAGGATGTTGTGTCTATTGACTTGTTTGTTCCCATTCTATCAATTTCTGCAGGTGCATTCCACCTTGGATACCCATTTCTATTTTGGGAGGAACATGTTCTGTGGAGCCTCCTTCCCCCAGCCCTGCTTTTCTTCCATTCAGAATGTCCTGCCTGGGAGCCACTTCGTGGCCTGTTTTGATGTGATTTGTAAATTGTGCTCAATTTTGTCTAAATACGCGGAAATGTTTAGAGAAGGCCGATGAAATCATTTTGCAAAACACCGCTGTTCTCTCGTGTTCCTCCCTTGTGCTCATTCCTGAACATTTTGTCTCGAGCAGCATCTCGACTGGTTCCTTCCCCCTGCCCTGACCCTTCTGGGTTAATTACAGCCCAAGTGCAGCTTCCCTATCCTCAAGGACTAGCTCTTTCCCAATACAGCATTTGATACCCTGATATTGCACAGGTGCTGCAGAACCTCAGAACCTGGCAGGAGCTGCCGTAGAGCCTCACTCTCTGTATCCTTGGCTGTTTATTCCCAGCAGAGCAGTTGGCTCTTGTCTGTGCTCCAGCACACACAGCTATTGCCTGACTTGGTCCAGCTGCATCCACCGCATCCTTCTCGTGTGCTTCTTCCTGGGCACTTGCTTCAGGGTTGAAAACGTATTAAATGAGATGTGTGTTGTGAAACGTGTGCTCAGCCACCACTTCAGCAAAAAGCTGTTTAAAGTCCCTCAGAATTGTTTGTTTTAGCACGAGGCTTCTTCGAAGTGCAAGGTCTGGGCTATGTGGAGACGGTCATGGACGCATTAGTTCTGGCATCTCTTCTGTAAAGCTACTGCTAAGAGAAAAGCAGATTTAAACCTGACAACTGACATAAGTCTGCACAGATTGTTAGCCTGTTGCTTAAGCAGCGACAGAACAAGGAGAAGGCTGAAGCTGTAAAATTGCGTTTGTTCCTGTCTGTGTTAATGCCATGAATATTCCAAGGCAACATATCTTAAACTCTGTGAAAACACATGGGAAACAGTAACTCAGTGCTGGCAAGCTGAGAATGCTAATTGCAGGCCATTTACCTGGCAGTTAAGAGCTTTTCAAATTTTGCCTTTAGACTGCTGATGTCAAAAGAGGAGCATCTTGTAAAACTGTAGTAAATAAGACTTCATAACAGTTTCATTTTCTAACTCATCCCTTCCATTTATTTGCAGGGACCAGCCACCTGTGTAGCATTCTCGAGAACTGGAGACTTCTTTGCTTCTGGGGGCTCTGATGAGCAGGTAGGTGACTGGAGTAACTGGATAATTCTGTACCCTGTTCTCACTATTGTCTCTTAATACCTGTGCTGGTGAACCTGGGCATCATGTGCTTTTAAGAAAAGAACAATTGTTTAAAAAATGATGAGAGAAGAATCTGCTCCTGGCTGCTGCTGGCACCAGGCTAGCCTGGTGCAAAAATGGCCGTGTTGAGTCAGCCTGGAGATCCGTGGAGCCCAGGATTGTCTCTGGCACCTGCCACTGGCTAATTCAGAGGGAAAAGCGTAAGGATTCACATTTCTTTATAAAAGCTCCTGGTTTTTATTCTCTTGTTGTCAGTGAGGTGAAGCAAAAACATACCCACGTGTGTCTGTGCCATCCTGAAGTGCCTTGCTGTGCTCTTCATAGCTGGTGACAGTTTTATGAGCTGTTACTTTTTGGTTCCTTTTTATAGAAAGGAATTTCTGCTAAGAAGGGTGGCATAGCTTGCCGTGCTGTCTCTTCAAGACCGCTTTTCATTCAGGCTTTTAAAACAAGAGTGAGAAAGAGAAGCATCTTGATTTTTTTGCCCTATAAAATTATATTGGGGTCACTTTATTAAGGTTTGCTCCTGAAATGCTTTCCTAACACAAGAAATAAATGTGCCTTTTGCTCCTGTTTCATTCCCCCTCAAGAGCTGTGGCAGTGCTGGAAGTTGCATTTATATAGCAATTTACTGTTATTTCTTTCATATAGGAAAAAGAATTGGTTTGGAATACTGAATTTTATATCCAGCTCTGATAGCCCAAAAGCTGACTTGGATTTCTAGCATAGGAGGACGCTAGCCGCCTTTTCTCCCTTGTATAAAAGGCATTCCCTTAAAAAGCTTTTATTTTATCCGATCCTTCTTTTTCTTTCCACAAGTTCGGATTCCCTTATATAAGGCAATATTCATGTCAAATAAGATTGACACTTGCCCTTAAAAGACCTCCTGCTACTGTTAAAGCGAGACAGTGAATGGTCAAGCTTCCCCTAGAAGCATCCTTTGTAAAAAGATTGGTTTATGGCATTGGACCATGTACAGACTTCTCTGGAAGCCTCTTCCATTGCAGCTCCCAGCTGCAGACCTCTCAAAGGTTGTGTTGGGAACACTGGCTCCAGTTTTTCTGTCCTTAGTGTTCTCGAAGGAATTCTTTTGCTCCTACTGGGTTTGTATCTGAAAAGGCAGCCAGCGTTCCCTTTCAGGCACAGAGAAGAAAAAAGTTAATGTACGATTTAAATATGTAATCAGAACGGCATTAGTCTTATATTTTGCTCACTATGAAGACATGATCTGTATGGTAAAAAGGCATCGTTTTCTGCTCCCTAGTGGAATGGCTCAATGTGCAAATACAGAAAAAAAAAAATCCTGTATATTTCACGGAAGGAAATCACAAAACCTGCTATCTATCTCAAGCAGATAAATGTTGATGTTTCTTGCAACTAAAACAAGCTTCTCAGATTCATAAATATCTTTCAGACTTAAGAAATATTTGATAAATGCTCTTTATTTATTTTTTTATTTTTTTTAGATTTTTAGTTTTTCTTGTCCAAGGACTTGCTCTTGGTATGTTGAAATGGTTAATGTATTAGAGGAGTCCTGGTTCTATGTCCACATCTCTTCTAAGACAGAAATTTTAAATGCAGAATCTGTTGTATTGTGGAGAAAAGGTGCCTATTAGTACGATTTACTTTTGGTAGGTAGTTGGCAAAATAGCTGAAGATCTCCAGTACAAGTTTCAAAGTGCTAATGTCTCCTTTCTCTGAGAAGGAGTCTCTTGGAGAAGAAAAACAAGCAGTAGCTGTTTGGTGTGTGACTCATAAGTGCTATAATGTAGAACATCATATTTTAATATACTTGTGGCTTAATGGTATATTCCTCATGTGGCTTTGAAGCTCTCTAGGTAGTATTAGTGCCGTGATGTTCCTGACCAAAGGAATGTTGGAAGGGGTCATTTACCCGCTGAGAACTCAGTTGTGCTACATCTGCGCTCAGCGACATGTTTACAAGTAACGACCTTTAGTTCCTGAGCTGGAACTTCTTGCCTTGGAAGGTTGTGGAAGCTCCATCTTTGGACAAATTCAAAAGCTGTCTAGACTGTCCTGGGCAACCTGCTCTAGGTGGCTGCCCCTGCTTGAGCAGGGGATTGGACTACGTTGATATCCAGAGGTCTCCTCCAACCCTTGGCAGGCTTTTGTGTGTGCTGGTCCTGTCTCTGATATGGTGTCAATTTTGAACTTCAAAGGCAGCCTCAAAGCTTTGATCCACTGAACTTAGGAGCTTTTCTTTCTTCTGCAGGTGATGGTATGGAAGACCAACTTTGATGCAGCGGATTATGGTGATGTGCTGAAGACACAGAAATCTGGCACTAGTGTGGATGGAAACCATTGCAGTCAGGTAGGGCAGCATAACTTGAGTGGTGCTCACACTTCAGCTTCCACAGCTTGTTTTCTGCTACAGTTGTGCAAGGATTTACCAATTCAGAGTTCCTCTCCTGAAAGTTTTTTGTAATGTACAAAATGTGATTATTTCAGGCAGTCAAACTATAGAGCCATCTTACTCTTTGATATTGATTTGAGTTGTAAGAAGTCTGTTACTAATGAATTTGCTATTATTTCTGTTTTTCTATAAGGTAAGT